AGCTTTCCCCGTTAGCTTCCCGGCGAAGATGGGGACCCAGTCTGTTTGGGCAACACTATTCAGTATGCATAGGCGTTTAAAGTCCTGCAAAAAGTCTTAAATACCCTCCTCTGATTCTGTGACATTTTTGAAGGAACTAAAGGGCAATTTGGTTTTTTTTCGTTCAGGGGTTCCCGGACTCTCTGGGGACATCTCTCCTGCCTGCCGAGAGGGGGGTCTTCATTCCAGAAGCCTCTGTGCCTGGCAACCAAGGTCCCTGTGTGAAAACCAGGCAAGAGAAGGGAAAGGAAGCGTCTTCATTTGAGGTATGAATGCTCCCCATGGCTGGCAATCGTCTATACGAATGGCGGCCTCGCAGGGGGCACTCATTAATTACTTACTTTGCGGTTTTACACTTATGGTGCGAGTGCAAACGTTCTGATTAATTGATGTGAACGTTCCAATAGGCACTGGGGAGGTCCTCGTTTGGGGGACAAACAAGTCAGGAAACAATCCAAGAATGCTCCCCCTGGCTGGTGTTCGTCAATACAAAATGACGGCCACCCAGGGGAGCATTCATTAATTGCTTCCCTCGTGGTTTCACAACTATGTTAGAGGTAAGAACGTGTTCTACTTGAACATTCTAACTAGCATTCTAAATGGAAAATCAGGGTGGTCCCCGTTCGGGAGATGAAGGAGTTCCTTTCGCGTGATCACTCAAACGGGGAGCGGGGTACAATATACAAAGGCAGAGAAAAACACACAATACAAAAGAAAGGCACCTGAACAAGCAGTGGTTCTTCCACAACTGCTCACAAATACAACCCTGCAAGAATGGCCAAATAGTAGATCCCCAGCTGGCATAGCATTTTGGAAGTTGTACAACTGTATTTTATATTTTTTATATATATTTTCAATCTATATTTTCTCCACTCTTGTGCTAGAATGTCTTGCACCAAGGCCCTCTCTACAGCTGCAGTTGTGTTGGGGTGGACCTGGCTGTGTTGTTTGTACCTGGCTGTGTGTGTGTATTTGGTTGTGTGTGTCAGTGTGTGTGCACCTTTGTGTCAGTGTTTATGCATACCTGTGCGTCGGTGCGTATGTGTAGTTGTGTGTATGTATACCTGTGTCTGTGTACTTGTGTGCCAGTTTGTATGTGTAGCTGTGTTGCCTGCCAGGGGTTGGGAGTGTGTGGAGGGGGGAGGGGGTAGCATCCCAGGGACCCAAGCAAATTATTGCCCAGGGTCCAATCAATGTTTAAGATGGCCCTGCACATTGCATCCACTACACACACACACTGCATCCACTATAAACACATTACATTCATTACATACAAACACTCCATTCTTGTGGGTGGGGACTCAGGATGGGCCCTGTTGGTAGACCCATGGGTGGTCCCTGGGGGGCTCAGACATTGAGCTTTGTAAGGAGCCCAAACATTTCTGATGACAGTCATGCACACGTCACCCCCAGCATCATCCTTATTATCCTAAACCACATATTACTCAATAACCCCCCCCATCCATATTCCATACCTGATGAAAAAAACACCACTTTGATAAAGTTTTTGGGCAAAACAGTTTAGTGGAGGCTGTAAGAAAAGCCTTTATATATTTTTATGTGTTTTTTATGTAAGTTTTTTAACCTTTTCTCTATCGGAAAATGTATATGGATATTTCTCCCTGGTTCTCCTTTCCTCCTTTGAAGAAGTTACATACATACTTTGTGGCGGCTGCACCACATGAATACAATGTACCATACACTTTTTCATTTGGATTAAGACAAACCATGATTCAGACAAAATTGGCCAACTTGGTGGCTTGTCTGAATAAAAATTGAATGAATCACCAGAAGACCGAATCAAAATGTTTTCAATCACATAATGGATACTATTCTTCCAAGTGATTCAGTCATTTGTTGATTTTAAACTACAAATATACAATTGCAAATGTGAAAGGCATGAATTCTAAGTGTGATTGAATGAATATCATTCAGTTTTGAATATATATAGTATATAGTAAATAGTATTCTTAAATACAGCAATCACACGTAAGGGTATCAAATTAGCTATTTACTCAGCAGCTGAAAGACAAAAATTAAGAAAAGGAAGTGATACTAATATGTTTACTAACGTAACATTTATGTCAAGGTTCAAGGTGCAAAATGTAAACAAATATATATTTTCTCTCTTTTGTGTCTTTTAGACTAGTAGCTCCTCAGTTTCCAGTCAACATTTCATTTTCAGTTCTTAATCAGTTTTACATTTAGAGTCAGAGTGAAGTGATGCTTCTCAATGGGAATCATGATATCAGCATTATCAGAGTCAAATGAGGATATTTATGATCTCTGAAAATTGTTATTTAAAGGAGAACTATAGGGTCAGGAACACAAACATGTATTCCTGACCCTATAGTGTTAGAACCACCATCTAGCACCCCTGATCCCCTCTTGACTCCCTAAATATAGTAAAAGCTTACTTGTATTCAAGCCTGGAGATGCTGCCTCTGCCTGTGAACTGAATCTCTCTGCTGATATCATCAGAAGAGGTTGTCTGAACCAATCACAATGCTTTCACATAGGATTGGCTGAGACTGTCAAGGAGGTAGATCAGAAGCAGAGCCAGCACATGTCAAAAAAACAGCTCTGGCCAATCAGCAATTCCTCATAGAGATGCATTGAATCAATTGATCTCTATGAGGAAAGTTCAGTGTCTGCATGCAGAGGGTGGATACACTGAATGGCAGTGCTGCTTACTCTACAGCACTGCCCAAGGAAGCAGTTTTAGCAGCCATCTAAGGTTATAACTAGGCTATAATGTAAACACTGCATTTTCTCTGAAAAGACAGTGTTTACTGCAAAAAGCCTGAAGGGAATGATACTACTCACCAGAAGAAATACAATAAGCTGTAGTTGTTCTGGTGACTATAGTGTCCCTTTAGCTTACTGGTGTATCTATCTAGTTAGTCAGTGGCACTTGAAACAACTTTGATTGGGCAATAGGAGATTACCATTGTGTCATTGATCCTCGTGTGAGACTAGGTTAAAGGCACTGCTGTATCTATCTACCTAGCTCTCAGTCAGTGACACTTAAAAAAAACTTTTGAGTGGCAGAATGGCATCTAGGGAGAATGGCCTTCTTCATTCTCCCTTGTGTGACACGGGCGGCTACAATTAGTACAGTGGAATAAAAGTGGGAAGGAAGGAATGTAAAGAAGTACAATGAAAACTACAAAGCATCAACATATAATTTTCATTGAAGGTATATATTGATAGGCCATTATAATGTCTTCTCTAGCCCATGTATGATATATACAGAGAAACTTCCCATAATCATAAGAGTTTCCACCTCATACATTATATCTATGGTTTCTCTAAAGATAGGACAATCAATGTGAAATGCACATAAAATTCTAAAAGAATTGCGTTTGCATTGACCATAAGGAATATTGTCCCATTTATAGTTTATTTGGTATTCGCAATTGGTCTGGATTGGGATATGTGCTGATAATTTTCACACCTGCGTATGTGTTGGCGTTGCCCATCATCATGAGGGCAGCTCAACAGCTACATGGGAAGCTGTTATCCCAGAAGTATATGTCACTTGAAAGTCAGCAGGGTAATTGGAGAGGATATTTCTACTGCCATTTTCTGCTATCTTTTTTCAATAAAAGCCGGATGTGTAGTCTGAGTACTCGCCCTTTGAAAAAGTGCTTCCTGTTACATACTTTAGTAAGTATTTTTATTTTAGTTGTTTTGTATACTGGTCTATTTGTACCTTTCTTCTTTAATTATATTTATCTTTGCTTTCTCAAGATTGAAATTGTGTACATGAACATTCTGTACTGTTATGAGTAATACTGATGGATTTCATACTTCAGACATTTGGTACAGGGCCGGTTTTTGTTGTGTGTATGACATAGCTTACAACAGAGCTGGATAATTTCTTGGTATGCACTGGGCTCGGCAGCGTAGCAACAGCTGAGTTGTTAGGAAGAGATTTTGCCCAAGCGCACAAGTTGGAGCTGAATCTAAGCTCCCAAAGAGTGAGTGCACATTTTATTAGGCCAAATAAAAAATATTAACTGAATTTCTAGAGCGATATTTAGATTAACTGAATCACTCAATGGACAAAATTTGGTGCAGCAAATTTTTTTTAATTTTCTGGTTCTATTAAAAACCAAAACGTTTCTAAATCTACACACCTTAGGCTTCCTTTTTTTTTATTTCAATTCCATTTTAAGGAATTCTATCATTTTTAGCATGGCTTTTCCATGGAGATATCGAGAGGATATTTCTTCTTACTGGCCATCTGTACACATTCCTGGGCTTATGCATTTATGGCAAACCCTTACTTTAAGTCCTTTTAGTATAGCTTTTTTGCTGAAGATGCCTACCATTGGTGGAAATGATAGTGACCAAGTCATTTTTGGTGGTGCTGATCAGGTTTGCACCTAGGCCTTAGTACAGATATACATTTTGTGGATGGTGAAGTGAAAGTGGTCAGCAAGCGAGAAGAGTCAAGCATGGCAGCAGGTGAAAACAGATGTAGAAAACTGAGGTGATCAGAAGGAGGCCTTGAAAAAAGATGAAAATCAAGATGGGATAATGGAACCTCTATAAGAAGGTTGACATCACCTTCAACAAACTTTCTCTGAGCCCATCTGTACCAACATTTCTCCTTCTCATCTAGACCTGCACCTGAGGATTATTGGGAATTATCGGTGAATTTCAAACTTAATGACATGAGATTTTTTTCAGTTTAGCTACTTTGGCTAGTAAATATTTCATTTAATTCAGTTAATGTCTCTTTAGGATGGGCATAACAACTATGGTAAAAATCCCATTGCATAAAGGTGACTTTGTCATGAATTTGTGCTCAAGCTGGACGTTGATCAGTTTGCGAATAGTGGCACTAAAACTTTGGATTTGTTCATCTGTCCATCCATTCATCTATCCATCCATCCATCAATCCATCAATCCCATCTCTTAAGGTCAAACCATACATTGAGACAGAAAAAAAGTCATGAGTCCCTATGTTTTATTTGGCTAATAAGATAAAATAAAGGGAAGTTTCTTGCCCTTTTTCCATTTTTTTTTGTTGTTGCTAATTTAGTACATTTGAATATATTTTCTATTGACATTTATTCAGGTTAAGAGCATACAACTAAATAACTGCGCCTCAAAAGGTATAATATTTAAGCAAAAATGCATTTGCTTCTTAAACGGTAAAATATGTTGTGATGCTGTATAAAATCTATTTCTAAAAATACCCTGGATATTTGAAAAAATAGCTTGTACTGCTTAAAGCTAAAAGCTGAAACCAGACTGGAGATCAATTTATCAAGAATTTCTGCTTCTTTTCAATACAAACTGATTGAAGAAAGCTGTTTTGTTTTATTTTGAAACTAAGCATCTCTCATTGTATAATTAGTGGCTTAATACAAAATGTGTGAGTGTAGGGAGTATATAGTAAATGTTAGTCACTCAACTCTGAAAAGCTAAAATAGTTGATTTGGAAATGTTCTTCAGCTCATATGTAACTTGACTATTTTAGTCTCTGCTTGAGATCATTATTCACTAAAGTGTGAATGGCCCCGCACCAAATGTATCATTTGCTGCTGTACAGGCCATTCTGACTGAAATAGCCAGACATTGTTCACAGTATGCTCTAAATGAACCTGACTTTGGTGCTTATTTCATTCTGCCCAAAAGCTACTGGATAGATGAAATCTCGACCCAGATGCATAAAATCAGGGGCTGAATCTAAAAAATCCAAACTATTTGTATGCTACCAGCACGAACAGCCAGCAGTAAAATAGTAAAAAAAAACAAAAAAAAAAAAAACAACCTTCTAGTGTAAGAGCTAGTTTAGAGTGGCTAGAAAGTGCCTATATAACAAAGCCTATTTTGGTCAATATGACCCTAATATGAATAAAAATGTCATGGTGTGGGTGAAGACATGTCTACTAAATAGTGGTTGCTCACAGTAACTTAATACTAGAGATTAGTCAACTGGAACGATGCCATGGGGATGTTGCCAATAAAATAGCAGAGGGACCTGGAACAGGTCTCCCTGTGTTTTTACCCATAGGTATTGGCTTACAATTGAGTAAAGGAATTTGGATGTCACGTGTGCGGGCTACCAATATAATAAGCAAGTGGACATCTCACTTTGCCCTTCAGCTGCAAATCAATGGCTGCTGGTGCGGCTATTTAATATCTAATGAAGGGGTGGACCCCCATTGTCCACCCCCCTAAAGTAGGGGGCAAACACCCCCCACTTGGTGGCTAGGAGTCCACAAGCCCGCAATTAAAAATTGCCATACCTACCACGCTCACCCACAAGCCAAGAGCATTCTACTGAGATTTCAAATTGTATGAATTTAATGAATGTTTTTCTGTCTTGGGAGCTCATTCTGCAGGGACCCTTGCAGAGCTCACATGAATTTATTTTTGTTGCAGCTGCAGTTTTATTTTTTTTATTTTTTCTATTTTCAATGTTTGGATATTTTTTTGGAGGGGGAGGGTGAAGAAAAGAAGATGACTTAAAGGACCACTATAGGCACCCAAACCACTTCTGCCAGGTCACCCTAGTTTTAACCCTGCAGCTGAAAACATAGCAGTTTCAGAGAAACTGCTATGTTTACATTGAGGGTTAATCCAGCCTCTAGTGGCTGTCTCCCTGACATCCACTAGAGGCCGCTTCCGCGATCTTCAATGCGAAAATCGCTCTGAACTCACACTGGACGTCCATAGGAAAGCATTGAGTAATGCTCTCCTATGGGCGGTTTGAATGTGTGCGCAGCTCTGGCCGCGCATGCGCATTCGGAGCTGGTATCGGCAGGGGGAGGAGAGGTCACCAGTGCCGAAGGAGCCTGGCGCAAGATTAAGGTAAGTGGCTGAAGGAGTGAGGGAGGGAGGGAACAAGTTTGCTTTCCTGGCACTATAGTGTTACTTTAAGAAAGACTTGTGAAGTTAAGCATTATTTTCTTTCAGCAGGTGTTAGATTTATTGGGCCACCTTCACTATTATTAGGGTGATGGAAGTAGGCAGTATTTGAGTTATTTATTGGGGGTGGCCAGTAGCTTGGAGGACTCCTAGCCACCAGGTCATGGGGGCTGGCTAAAACTTTGGGCTGTCATTAACGCCCGTTACCTAAAGCTCATGGGTTGCAAGTGGACATTAGCATGTCCACTTCCCCATTTGTTTTAAAATCTCCCCACCAGAAGCCCATAGGTGGGGGACTAGGTGATGGAGCAAGGCAATGTCCAATGGCCTTCTTGACTTCAAATAGCATTCATTTGCTGCCTTTGGTTTAGTGTCCCCCTCAGTTAAAGGTTGGGGGGGGAGGGGGCATGGGGCACACTTGTGCTAGGTCCTCATTATTGTTGACAGGTGCATGGGAAGGGGCCTGTAAACGGGACATAGAATGGGGCCTTTCTAGAGAATTGGCAACAATAGCAACCCAGTCTCTAGTTTTTAGTTACAGTAAGCAACTTCTGGCTGCTCAATATTTAGTAGTTATGCCCTCACAAATGGCATGGCGGGTGGGTGCATAATGGAGATTTAATGTTTATTAACGTTTTTAATGTGGAAGCTAGCTTCCAAGCTCCGGTCAGTTGCAACTTGGTTAACCTTTGCAATGCTGGTTTACATACTGGAGACTAGTACTGCCAGCAAGCAATTATTACCGTACTTCCAATTACCAATTGCTTGCCTAATCACAGTAAACAATCATTTTCAAATGTGCATCTTGCTGGATGAACTCGGTCCCTATTTAGTTTAAAATTAGAGCTTTGTACTTTGCATAGGGTTGAGATGCAAAAACTGGACAACAAATGCATCCAACTGATCAATGCAAATTTGGTCGCTTTGAGAAAATTCCAACTGGATTTAGCATTAGTAAATATGAGAATTGCAATTTGGGGCAGAATTCAGTCATTTTAAAAGAATTTTGTCAATCCGGACAAAATCCGGTGTTTAGTGAATAACCCTGCAAGTGTTTTTTTTTTCTTGTTTTTTTTCAAAATTCCTTTAACATTTTGGAAATAATCTATGTATAATATTGCTTATATAAATTAAACAGTAGTAATTGTACATTTTTTAGAGTTTGTTTATGCAGAATATAATTTTTTTGCTTACAACTCAAATTTACTTCTCATTATATAGGTTTGTAACTGAAGAGGTGCATTCAGAGGAATATTGAATAGGATTCTGTCACTTTTCTTGAAATGTTGTACTGTTACATGTATTTTCTTTATAAAGTATTTCTAGAAAATGATCTAGATTAGCGAGAAATGCACGAACTCTCTGAAAATCATATATTTTGCCATGTGTCCCGTGTCCATGCTGAAAGACAAAAACATAAAACAAATTCAATAAATTTTAAATCCTTGTATTTTGATCATAATGAATGTGAAATTGTTTATCTTGTCCATATCACATTAGCTTCTATTCATATTTAATAAGAAATTCATTTAGATGTTTTTATGATTTATGTGACCAGTGTACAAACCTACTAATTAATCTTGCTGTGCCTTTTTAAGGAGAAAACATGCCAGGTGTTTTTTTAACTTGTTTATTGGCTGAAAAATACTGGGCTGTTAAGCACCAGTAGAATTACTTATTTATCAGTAGAGTTACCTGGAAAATAGCAAAGCAATGATCACTATAGGTCTTAAAATAACCTCAACATAAAACTTAAATGACTCATGTTGTTTGTTCAGTTTGTTCAGCTGTTTATTTTTTGTTTTGTTTTACAACACAACTCATTGATATTACTGATCTGAGTAACTAGGGGGGGAAGAGTCTGTGTTAGTACTCGGACTTTATGTCCATATTCTTTCTTGGCTCTATAAACTGTATGGTCAGTGTGTTTTTTTTTAATGAGTTAGGCTTCATTCATGCTCACTATGAAAACACAACTCATAGTGTCACACGAGATTCCTGATTTCAAAGCATGTGCAGTATGCACATGTACATACCTCCCAACTCTGACAGTCCAAGAATTGGGATGCTGGTGCAAGAGGGGCTAAAGAAGATGGACCAGTGGCATCATTGTGTCACTGGCTTAGCCCAAAGGGAAAGCGGGCTTGTCTGCCCAATTAACTGGCCTGTCAGCCTAGCATGAATGCCCGCTGGGCTGCCAGTCAGTCCCACAGGCCAGAACAGGGCAGACCCTGAAGGGAGCACTATTTCAGTGCAAGCAAGTCTAATGATGTGCTATCACTATGCTTGTTGGGACAGTTTCCAGGTGTCCCAAAAGTGACACCAGGGAATTAAGTAAGGACGACAGGACAAGAATCTGTGGAGTGTTTGCATGAAGAAAGAAGGCAAAAACCCAAGAGTTACATCTGAAACTCTACAGGCCTCAGTTAGCATGTTAAATGTTAAAGTTCATGATAGTACAATTAGAAAAAGACTGAACAAGTATGGTTTGTTTTCAAGAGTTGCCAGAAGAAAGTTTCTTATTTCTAAAAATAACATGGCAGCATAGTTTAGGTTTGCAAAGTTGCATCTGAACACATCACAAGACTTCTGGAACAATGTCCTTTAGACAGACAAAATCGAAGTGGAAATTTTGGCCATAATGCACAGCAACATGTTTGGCAAAAACTAAACACAGCTTATCAGCCAGCATGGTGGTGGAGGGGAGATGATCTGGGCTTGGTTTTCAGCCACATGACCTTGCAGTCATTGAATTCAAGTTTGGCTGAAATTGGGCCATGCAACAGGATATTGGCATCACTGCATTTGGAAGTACGGCTAGAAGAGTCTCGGGTAGGGATTCCTTAGTCAATCAGACACTCAGTTCATTGGGAGCGATGCGTGAGATGAAACATCTCTCACCTACGCCAAGTTCCTTGTTGACACTGGCATATAATAGCAATATGGGGGGGCTGCCCCTGGCAACTTGGAACTTCCTGGGGGAGGAGACGTCATCCCAATATACAGAGTACTAGGCAGCAGAGGTTTGCTGGACCTGGAGGCTTTGTTGGTGGAGGTTGCTGCAGATTACCCTGATCCTACTCCACTATACTTAACTATGACTCTATTACAATCAGATATCATTTAGAGATCAATTGCATCAAGAGATTATCTAGTTTGAGGGTCTGTGAGTGGGGGCACCAAACTGGAGAAGGCAATGTCGGTTCTATACCAGCACTTATTGGTGAAGGGATAAAGAAAATAATAGTACTTTTAAGAGGCAATGGGAGAAACACCAAAGCAGGACATTTTCTGATGCACAATGGTAAAAAGTCTTATTATCACAACATAGAGCCCAGCCTTGACCCCAACTCCCCATCAAACTACCACCCTATCTCGCTACTGCCATTTGCCTCCAAGATCCTCAAAAGAGTTGTGTACACCAGACTTTCTCAAAACCAACTCTCTGCTAGACCCCCTTCAGTCTGGATTCCACGCTGGTCACTCTGTTGAAATGGCTGTGGACAAAGTATCCAACGATTTAATTGCTGCTAAATCTCGCAGCCATTACTCTATCCTAATTCTCCTTGATCCTTCTGCTGCCTTTGATCATCAACAGCTTCTTCGCATTCTCTGTAATTTTGGTCTATGGGATATTGCTCTCTCCTGGTGCTCCTCCTACCTCTCTCAGCGCCCTTTCAGTGTTTCTTTCTCTGACTCTGCCTCAACCCTCCAACTACTCTCTGTTGGCGTGCCCCAAGGTTATGTCCTTGCTCCCCTACTGTTCTCTATCTACACTGCCTCCCTTGGTAAACTCATCAGCTCCTTTGGCTTCTGTTATCATTTCTATGTGGATGACACGCAAATCTACCTGTCCTCTCTTGATCTCTCTCCGCCCATCTTGACTCGTGTCTCTGACGGCCTCTCTTCGATTTCCAAATGGATGGCTGCTCACTTCCTTAAGCTCAACCTGTCCAAAACTCTCTTTTATCTTTATTTGCTTATTTGGTGTTATTTTATGTTTTAAAGTTAATTAATGTTCAGGGTACATGATCAGTGACATCATATGACCGTTTTTAAAAAAAAAATTCTTAGCTATTTAAGAGTGAAGGTCCCCTACTCTGTAACACTTTGAAAAAGCCTTCTGTGAAACGCGTTAGCGTGTTACTTACTTATTATTTGTTTAATAAAAATAATCTGCATTTACACCCCTGGACCTTCATTGGACATTTTTTATTGGAGAAGCTGTATCTCACATTCCCGGGTGGGGGACAAACCACCTGTGCTGTAAAGGACTGAGCAATCCCAATTTGCTCATCCATTGTGAGTATATTTCTCTTTATTTTATTTGTTTTATTAATACAGAGAACACTATTCCTGTTATTTTATATCCTATATATATCACTGGAGCATCGGCTGGAATACACCACGTGGACTATTGTCACAGGGATACGATACCAGAGGAAATGAAGACCATCCTGACATCCACAGATGGGGATTGTACCGTCCATATGCTATGATCTGGAGCTGATCTTGAGCTCCAGAAAAGTGTGAGTGCAATATATTTTTTACTTATCTTCTGCCTCTGCTGTTATAGACATACTACACTATATTAGTATGCTTGTCCCATTTTGCTTTCTCCCTTATATTGGCTCCATTGGACTCCACACAGATTCAAATTGTTAAGCTCTTGTTCTGTCTCGCCTGGACTACTGCAATACTCTTCTCAGTGGTCTTACATGTTCCCAGATTGCACCATTGCAAGCTATAATGAATGCAGCGGCAAGGCTCATTTCCTGTCTGCTCGCACATCTTACGCCTCCCCTCTCTGTCAGTCCCTGCATTGGCTTCTAGTTAGATATAGGGCTCAATTTAAAATTCTGGTGCTTGCTTACAAGTCCCTACATAATGCTGCTCCAACCTGCCTATCTTTTCTAATACACAAGTATGTCCCGTCGAGGCCCCTACGCTCTGCCAAAGACCTACGTATATCCTCTGTCCATACTCCCACCTCTAAAGCTCGCATCCAAGACTTATCCAGGGTTGCACCTCTTCTGTGGAACTCCCTTCCCTTCTCCGTAAGTCTTTCACCCAGTCTCCACTAATTCAAAAAAATAATTGAAAACTCACTTCTTCAAGAAAGCATATCAATTAAACTGTTAGCAGGTTTTTATCCCCTACCCTCCATGACTCCTCTAATGCAACTGTCATAAATTACCTACTAAGCCCTCAGTGAATACTTTTCTAACAACCTACTTCGTATTCCTACTTTTACCCTTTATGTCACTATACCCCACTCCCTCTAGAATGTAAGCTTATTGAGCAGGGCCCTCCACCTCTCTGTTCCTGTACGTCCAGTTGTCTGGTTAGAATTACATGTCTGTTAGTCCACCCATTGTACAGCGCTACGGAATCTGATGGAGCTATATAAATAATAAAATATTAATAATAATAATAATAATAATAAACGCTTGAGCAGCTCTAAGTACCAGGAGGTGAACTACAAACTCCTTTCATTCTGGTACAGGACACCAGTACTGCTTTAGAAAAAAATTCTGACATTCCCATCCACATGTAGGAGGTGCCAGGAAGTTAAGGGGATGATCATTCATATTTGGTAGAAGTGCCCTAAAATAGTTCCTTTTTGGCATATGGGGCTATTACTGACATATCCGTGCCGCATTACCCTTCGGGACAGAAGAGATGCTGCTGCACCTAACTCCCATGCTATTTACAAAATACAAAAAATCTACCTTGCGACACCTGCTCAATGCTGTGAAAGCTCTAGTACCTGCCCTATGGAGACAGGCACAGGATCCCATAAAGAAGCAATGCTTCCACAGACTTGAAGAGATACAGGCAGCCAAGGCATTACATGCCACCCTCATTGGGGTGAACATCCAACATGCAGATTGTTGGCAACTCTGGTTCGAGTACTTGGCTAAAGAGGAGTGTGAAGGTCAAGACACTGTGTAAAACTAAGGGTGTTGGTGGGTGCGGGATCCGTGTCACCCCCTTTGCAATTTGTTTTTTCTATTCTTTGCATCTGTCCATTCACAAATCTTGCACACATATTCATAGAGCCAGAGCCAGAGGGATACTAGGGGTCTCAGAATGAGGCAGAAGCATGATTTTCCCATGACTTCATATATAATATATATATACACATACCAAACAAGCTGTACTTACCTGAGTCTGCATACATTATAAGGGTGCTGCTAATACAACATACCACATCCAATGCACTCACTCATTCACTAGAAGGCAATTTCAAAGCTCACAGAATGCAATAATCTTCTTTAAAAACACATAACCCAGATAAAAGTAATGGGCATTTAATCACAGTATATTATCATATATTGCATAAGTCATTTTTGGCAGGTCCTATCCTAGCAACTTAATACACCTGTAACGGATCGCCTGGCACCCCGACTGGGTACCTCCGTTAAAGGATGCTCCTAGCGCTTCCTGAGGACTCCAAGCACTGCAGCAGACACCACAACCACCGAACCGGAGAAGCGTATACCTTCTCTCAAGCATATGAATGCTGTAGACAGTTGAATAGGAACCATACGAATAGGTTTACTCTCCTAGCAGTCAAACTGGAACAGCATACAATGAATCCTTCCCCCAATAATGAGACGACACTTCACTTTGAGGGTTAAAACAGGAACCCTCTGTACTGTCACATACAGTCTCTTTTATTCCCAATCCACAAACATAGTACAGCCCACAGGGCGTTACAAAACAACCAATCAATCCGTACAATACACCCAGACACTCCCACACAAAATCCTCCCCTCTGCAGGTGATATGATTACTGAACACAATGGGTAATCTCATTATCACCGGCAGAGGAATACAGTTTTTACACAATATTTATAACTTCTAAAATATACATGTCACAAACATAAAACATACATTTTCATAATCAATCCATTCAGGGGAACAACATATTAAAAATGGCACGAATCAGACCAGGGGTTCAAAAGTTAAGGGAAAGTCCTTTGTGACTAAATGAAGCATGGCTTTCTGGCCCAAACCAGTTTCAGAGTCTTCTATCCTGGAGAGTAATTCAATTATCTCCCAGGATAGACACAAGACTCCATTAAGCACATGGTTGCAAAAAGACACAAAACACTTTAAAATACATAAAGTCACATTTACACATAACACACAGACATTTCACATATCCCCAGATAGCTGGGATCTGAGTGCACATTATTAGATGAATGGCACTCAGATCACACAAATAAGCCTTTCTGCAGGGGAAATAAACGGTTTAACCTGCAGGGCCATAGTCCAAAGGGAGCAGGCGAGCAACCAGGCTTCTCCAGTTCACAGTGGCGAGGTTGGTTTCGCCACACTTCTCCCCTTTACCAACTAGACTAACATGGTATCTGACCTCCTGCTGGTCAGTGCCCTGGTTAGTCCAGCAACCCACCCACAAAACAGAAACAGCAGTACAGCCCACCCACAATAACTGGTTACTACACCTGGGTAGAGGAGAACTTTGTCCATGTCCAGGTGCCTCACCACGACTGTGTGGGCAACTGTTAGGCTGCCTTGGTGGGTTGCTGAGTGGGCAGAGACCAGCGGTACTCTGCCCTGATGCCAGTGCTACCACAGAAGTAGCCTGGTGTGAGCCTGGTTGTGGGAGGGAGAGACCGACTGTCTCCCCTCTGGATACACCGCTCTGTGGCTGGGGAACAGGACCGACTGTCCCTACCCCTTGTGCTGTAAGTGCAGAGACTACAGTCCCATCTGCACTGTTGGGGGGTGTAACATCTCCCCTTGCTGGGTTAGGCTGCCGCTGGAGAGAGGGTGTAACAAGCTCCTCTCTCTGAACTGTAAACTGCCGCTGGGGAGAGGGGGTATCAGGCTCCTCTCCCTGACACTCTCTCTGCTGGTGGAGAGGGGGACCAGCTGTCTCCCCTTTCATTATTTTGTCCTGTGGTTGGGGTGCGGGACTGACGGTCTCTGCGCCCTGCAGGACACTCTGCCGCTGGGGAGGAAGGACGGCACCTTCAGCCGCTGGGGAGGAAGGACTGCACCTTCAGCTCCCTGGGGTACACACTGCCGCTGGGGAGGAAGGACTGCACCTTCAGCTCCCTGGGATACACACTGCCGCTGGGGAGAGGTGATAACAAGCTCCTCTCCCTGACACTCTCTCTGCTGTTGGAGGGGGAGACCGACTGTCTCCCCTTTCAATAATTTGTCCTGTTGCTGGGGAGAGGTGATAACCGGTTCCTCTCCCTGGAACACTCTCTGCTGTTGGAGAGGGGGACCAACTGTCTCCCCTTTTAATATATTGCCCTGCTGCTGGGGAGCGAGACCGACTGTCTCCGCTTCCTGCAGGACACACTGCCGCTGGGGAGGAAGTACAGCACCTTCAGCTCCCTGGGATACATACTGCCGCTGGGGATCTGGGCTGACTGCCCAGCATCCCTGTAGGGCCTGTAGAGAGACCTCGGTCCCATTCCCACCTGCCAGCTGGGTGTCTTCCCAGGACAAGTCAATAAGGTCTTCCATCTCTGGGGCTGGTTGGGACATATGTGGTACAGTACCAAAGTCTCCTGATAACAGGCTTGGTTGCTGGGGAGGAGGAACTAAACTCAATGCTTCCGGTGGTATACAGTCAATAAGCCCCATCATGTCAAAGACAGGCGGCGTTATACGTTGGAATAGGCAAACATAATCCTGTTCTAGTTCCCACTCTCGGTTGGCAAGAAAAGATAGATCTGGCTGAATGGCATCGATCTCTGTAAGGTCCCAGTTGTCTGCCCGCTCAGCTCGGATGGACCAGAAGCGAGCAATGTCGGTGTCTCCGAACCAGAGACTAGTTTCAATAGTATCCCACAACAAACCAGGGCCATCGTAGTCTTCCCCCTCAATACACTTGTACTCAAGCAGCCATGGGTAGAGGTGGTAAACATGCCACCGCAGGGCCCGATAGGAATCATCCAGCCACACCTCAGTCTCAACTAGCGTCTCCAGTTCGCTTACCCATTCCTCTGAGGGCTGGTTTCCCAATAACGGCATCCGCAGCTCTAGTTGTTCTGCTTGGCGCTGGTTACACTGCATACACTAACACAACACACACACTGCATACAATAACACACACATACACTGCATTCACTAACACAACACACACTGCATACACTAACACAACACACACTGCATACAATAACACACACATACACTGCATTCACTAACACAACACACACTGCATACACTAACACACACACTGCATACAATAACACAACACACACACTGCATACAATAACACACACATACACTGCATTCACTAACACAACACACACACACTGCATACACTAACACAACACACACACTGCATACACTGACACACACATACACACACTGCATACACTAACACAACACACACTGCATACATTAACACACACACTGCATACACTAACACACACACACACTGCATACACTAACACAACACACTGCATACACTAACACACACACACTGCATACACTAACACACACACAGCATACACTAACGCAACACACACTGCATCCGCTACATTAACACACACTCTGCATCCGTTACACTAACACACACTCTGCCTCTGCTACACACTAACACACTCTCTGCATTCACTACACATTAACACTGCATTCACTACACTAACACACACTCTGCATCCGCTACATACTAACACACTCTCTGCATTCACTACAAATTTACACACACTATGCATTCACTGCACTAACACACACACTACATTCATTACACTGACGCACTCTGCATTCACTACACACTAACATACACTCTGCATTCATTACACACTAACACACACTCTGCATTCACTAAACTATGCACACACTCTGGATTCACTATACTGACACACACTCTGCATTCACTACACTAACATACACTCTGCATTAACTGTACACACAGCATCCACTACACAAACATCCTGTATTCACAGTACACACACTACATCCACCACAAATTGAAACACTCTGCATTCACTATACACAGACACTGCGTCTAATACACACACTACAGACACTGCATCCACTAAACACATTTCATCTAGTACATACAAACACTACATCCACTACACAAACACACACTACATCACTGTACACACACTACATCACTGTACACACACTACATCCACTACTCAAAAACACTCTGCGTTCACTATACACACTGCATCCGCTACACAAACACACACTCTGCATTCATTGCACAAACAGTATCTAATACACACAAACACTACATCCATTACACACATTCTAATTCACTTCCACTATACACACACCACATTCAGTCCTGCATCATTGTGAGCGGACTAGGTAGGGCGTGGGCGGGCCCGCGAGGAGGGGGGGGGGGGCCCAGACCTTGTGCTTTGTCATGGGCCCCAAATTTTCTGATGGCGGCCCTGCTCACCATAATAAGCAACAGTTATAGGAATTGCAGCTAATGAATTTCTGCATTGGGCATCAAAAAAAGTGGGTGGGACAAATGTACACCCCCAAACTAAATGAAACAGGGAACTGAACACTTTATCATGTCACTACTAGACGTTTTGTCAGTGTTGATGTTGAGAAAGCATCCAATAATGATGTGAAACGTGTTCAGTTCGAATTTCATTTAGTTTTTTTTTTTTCCCCTCCCTCTTTTTTGGTGGATGGAGTTTCAGAGAAAATGCTATGTTTACCTATGGGTTAATCCAGCTTCTAGTGGCTGTCTCATTGACAGCCGCTAGAGGCGCTTCCGCGCTTCTCACTGTGAAAATCACAGTGAGAAGATGCTGGATGTCCATAGGAAAGCATTGAGAAATGCTTTCCTATGGACTGACTGAATGTGCGCGCTGCACTTGCCGCGCATTCGCATTCATCCGATGACGTCGGAAGGAGGAGGATAGTCCCCAGCGCCAAGGGAGCCCGGCGCTGGAGAAAGGTAAGTGTTTAACCCCTTCCTACCCCTAGAGCCTGGCGGGAGTGGGACCCCGAGTGTGGGGGGTACCTATTAACACTATAGTGCCAGGAAAACGAGTTTGTTTTCCTGGCACTATAGTGGTCCTTTAATAATGCCTTGATGCCTATTGGTTGTATATGCTCATTTTTACAGTCTCAAATTAAATCACATTCTTACCTATTTGAACTTACTTTTCACTTTGTAACTTGGTGTTTAAAAAAAGTCCAGGCTGGACAATTGTTTTCATGAATTTGCATCAATGAAAGCACCAATTAAATCCTGCAAGTGCGCTCATATATATTTTTGTTACCAACTTGACTGATCAAACATTTAAGTTTAGAAATAAAATGGTTTTAAAAACAAAAAATATTGCTTTGTTGATGAGCGGTATAAAGATCCTGCGCACTATTAATATAAAATGTATTTAATACTCACTAGTGGTGGGCAGTTATTAGTCACGTAGTTCAGGTTTTCCTTGACGAGTGTGACATTATGGGAATAAGAGATGTTGTGTTTTAAAACTTGGTGAAGATTATGAATTCCTTTTCTAAAAACATTCATTTTCCATGCAAGGTCTGTCTGCAGAAAAATATGGAATCATATAATTAGTCATCTCTACGCAGTATATATTAATTCTAATGGAAAAATATATTCCTTATTTCTTTTTGCGATATCACATTCAAAACAGAGGCACAATATTTGAGCTGTAAGAAGTGGATTAAAAAAATAAATCTATTTTTATCCCTTCATTTACAGACTAATTTTTAAAATAAACTATTATAACTTTAATTTGGATCCTTAACACTCATATGTTCACCTGGGTAATTAAAGCATTACATTTTTAGATTACATTTTAGAAAATGTTTTCTTGGTAAGACTAAGTTCATCGTCCCTGGATTTTTATAATTTTCGGCTTATGAAATAACCTTTACACACTCATATTCATTCATACTTAACATTTAGATTTATTCATGTTTTGGTCATAATTGCTAGCAGACCTGTGTATTAGTTTTTGTTCTAGTCTTAAATTGCCCTGAGAAACATCCAGCATTGACCAGGTGATGTATGCCATGGCAACGCATGGCGATGCCATTTCATTAAAATATTTGCAAGAGCAACAGCATTCACATACTTTCAAATGCTATACCTGGCCTAGAAGGAAGACTTTGGGCACCATAACTACTTCAACAGAAGTGTGTCTGGAGTCCCTGACCCTGCATTACTACTAAACAATTTACTTCCCATTCAGTACAAATTCTCGGCCCCCATCACCCTGAAGCCCAGCTTCCATGACAATAAGGCAAGGTTGTGTAATTTCCCATGGGCAGTGATTGGTTGAGAATGTCAGATAAATATTAATATTGCCATTAAATAATCACTCCACTGCCCAGATACAAAAATAATTAAAATTCACTTTTTAGAAGATATACGTCAAATGAAAATATGCATGAATTTAATTATGCATTTTTTTCACTGGGGTTTGTTTCAAAACAACCTGCAAAAGCGGCAGACCTATTGTCAACAGGTTTTTCAAGCCTTCCCCTTCTAATACAGCCAAGACTATCTGTGGCTGTCCAATCACAGACTTCCTAATGCAGCCCACCGAGAAGGCATTGCAAGACATGTGCTTTGGGCTATTCCCTACCTTTTGAGTTTAGCTCCACTGAGCTAAGCAAACCAGGAAGTAACAGGATTGTAACTGATTGTCCAAATGGCATCCAGGAGAAATCTACACTTTTTATAAAATTAAAAATAGGACCAGTGGCGTACACATGACCCACGGGGCCCCGGTGCAAAAATTGATCCGTGCCCCCCCCCCCGCGCGCTTACTCGGCGCGGGTCGGGGTCGCAACACATGGTGGCGGGCACCTGGTCGCAGGGGTTGCAGGGCTGCGACCCTGCGACCGCGGTATGCACACACACTTAAAGGACCACTACAGACACCCAGATCACATCAGCTTAATGAAGTGGTCTGGGTGCCAGGTCCCTCTAGTTTTAACCCTGCAGCTGAAAACATAGCCGTTTCAGAGAAACGGCTATGTTTCACTGAGGGTTAATCCAGCCTCTGGTGGCTGTCTCATTGACAGCTGCTAGAGGAGCTTCCGCGATTCTCACTGTGAAAATCACAGTGAGAAGACACTGAACGTCCATAGGAAAGCATTGAGTAATGCTTTCCTATGGGCGGTTTAAATGCGCGCGCGCCTCTTGCCGCGCATGTGCATTTCGGAGCTGAGTGGCGGACACTGGGGAGTCCGACGCTGGAGAAAGGTAAATGCTGAAGACACACACACACACTCTCACGAACAGACGCATACACACTAGCTAACAGACACACACATTTACTGACAGAGACACACTCAGCGACAGACATACATACACACTCACTTACAAAACATACACTTTCACTGACAAACACAAAATACTAACAGACTAACACTCACTAACAGACATCAAACACACTCAGTAACAGACACACACAGTAACACACTCACTAGCAGACACACACCCAATAACAGACACATTCACTGACACACACACTAACACACACACTAACATACACTAACACACACACACACTAACACACACACTCTAACACACACATTTTTTTTTTTTTCAAATTTAATCCCCCCCAGCCTCCTTACCTTTTGGAGTGCTGGGGGGATTCCCTGGGGTCCAGTGGTGCTGCTGGGCTCCTGGTCACTGGGTGGGCGGGCTGCCTGGCCGGGCGTGCGAGGGAGCACTTTCCCTTGTGTGCTCCCTCTTCAGCTCCCTCGCGCACCGCGTAGGGATGCCGGCGCCGGAAGATGACGTCATCTTCCTGCTCCGTCATCAGTGCGGTGCGCGAGGGAGCTGAAGAGGAAGCACTGAGTGCTCCCTCGCGCGCTCGCGCGCCCGCCTGCCCGACCGGCCACCTGCCCGCTGGGGTCAGCAGGGCCAGGCTCGGGGGGGCCCTGAGGTGGCCGGCTCCTGGGCCCCCCAGGGGAATAGGCTGGCCCTGTGGCTACATACCGAGTCGCAGGGGCGGCCGGGCCCCTTGGTGGGCCGGGCCCGGTCGCAGCCGTGACCCCTGCGACCCTGGTATGTACGCCACTGAATAGGACACTCTCTTCACACCTAACGCACTGAAATGCTCTATGCTTTGGCAGTGCTCCCTTTAAAAGTGGAACATCTAACAGACAGCATTGTAATTGTCAAAACTGCAGATACATAGCGATTTTTATGTATTTTAATGATCTTCTATACAAAGATAAAGCATCTCTAAAACAAACTGCAAATCCTATTAGTGTTATCAATTACCTAATATAAAAGTAGCATGGTTTGGAGCTGAAGAGGAAGCACTGAGTGCTCCCTCGCGCGCTCGCGCGCCCGCCTGCCCGACCGGCCACCTGCCCGCTGGGGTCAGCAGGGCCAGGCTCGGGGGGGCCCTGAGGTGGCCGGCTCCTGGGCCCCCCAGGGGAATAGGCTGGCCCTGTGGCTACATACCGAGTCGCAGGGGCGGCCGGGCCCCTTGGTGGGCCGGGCCCGGTCGCAGCCGTGACCCCTGCGACCCTGGTATGTACGCCACTGAATAGGACACTCTCTTCACACCTAACGCACTGAAATGCTCTATGCTTTGGCAGTGCTCCCTTTAAAAGTGGAACATCTAACAGACAGCATTGTAATTGTCAAAACTGCAGATACATAGCGATTTTTATGTATTTTAATGATCTTCTATATAAAGATAAAGCATCTCTAAAACAAACTGCAAATCCTATTAGTGTTATCAATTACCTAATATAAAAGTAGCATGGTTTGGAATAGAAAATGCAATGTTGATGTAAGCTTCACTTTGCACAACAAAACAACAAAAAGCTCAATAATAATGTATTACCTCAATTTTGGGGGGGACAGCAAAGAAATATGGCAATTTCTGTAAATAAATAACACAAATAAATCATTATTTATTATTAAAGTATTTGAAGAATGAGTGTGTGTTAAATAAAATGACAAATCACTTACCATATTGTTTATATGCATGTTTAGGCTCTTAATTATATTCTCTGTCTGTTCAATGGCATCTGGAACATTTCTCGATTGCCCGGCATTTACATTTACATTAAAAAAAGTGCTGTATGCACAAAGGAGAGAAACCATAACGTTTACTTTGTGATTCATCTTTATGAACAGTTCAGTTCTTCAACACTGCACAGCATCTGCCCAAGCCAGGAAGAGTTACAATTTATATTCTCTGAAAAGGGAAATGGGTTTTCCTTATCTATAGATTTAAAAAGAAGAAAACAAAAAAAAGAACTGTGAAATCTGATTTTTTTTTTTTACGTTTAGAACATTAGCGAACGATGCATAATTAACTATTTTACGTCCAAGTTATTTTAGTGAAAAAAAACCCATCGCTTTCATTTAAAATACAAGATGCGAGTATATAAACATGTGAAAATAATAATTGATAACTCTTTAAAGAAACTTCTGCAGAAATTTGTGTGGAGGGCATAAATTATTAGAGATAAGATATCACTTAACTCAATACCAAACAGACCACAAGAGAGACAAGAAAAATAAAGTGTAATGGCAAATATAAATTTATATTCAGTATATTTAGAAGTTTGATGGAAATAAAATTGGTCTAATACTCCACTCAGTGGCATTTGTAAGTAGTTAGCTGATGTTTTTGGGGAATGGAAATTGAAAATGGAATAGAAAAGCAGCAAAATATTGATATTAAAGAATCAGACTAAGCATCACAACCATTATATGTCAATGTTGTGTTTATTGGTATAGAAGAAATAGTGGAAGTGAACTCAACCCTTTATCCAGAAATCCAGGGTGCTCCAATGGATAAGTCCCAGTACCAAGAAAGGACCAAGTATAAAATTATTAATTGTAGAAAGTAATCCAGGCACTCCAATGAATTCCAAAGTTATAGGCAATTTATTAGAACCAGGAACTACATAGCAACGTTTCAACCCCTCAGGGTCTTTATCAGCTTGATAAAGACCCTGAGGGGTTGAAACGTTGCTGTGTAGTTCCTGGTTCTAATAAATTGCCTATAACTTTGGAATTCATTGTAGAAAGTAATCCAGGCACTGAATTCCAAAGTTATTATTAGAACCAGGAACTACATAGCAACGTTTCTACTTTATCAGCTTAATAATGTTGTGTTTATTGTGATTTTGTTGATGACTATGATATTGAGATTCTCAAAAAAAATGGGGGTTTGATGCAATTGATTTAATTTCATAGAAATTCATGTGAAACATAGGTTAAAATATAGAGAAAATTAAGCTTGACATTATAAACATCTAATTGCAGAATGTAAGAGGAATAAAAAAAAAACCACAGTTTTGAATATTTCTTGAGTAGAAATAAGCACAGGACCAAGCACTGAAAGACTCTATGACCTCAATAAGAGTATTTTAGATAAGAATTTTTTTTTATCCATTCATTTTATTTGGACTATTTGTTATTTTTATCTTATATCTAGTTGTCCTTGGCGCAGCCCTTACCTTTTATTTTTTCTCTCCTCTAGTGTTATTTTTAAGGGTTTTTGAGGGATCCCCTTATAGGGTTGCTGCCCACTTGTTAGTTAGTGCTTACTCTCCGTCTTGTTTATATAATGCAGTGTGTTTGTGTAGTGTGTTTATATAATGCACACTACACAAACACACTGCATTATATAAACAAACTACATTCACTATACACACACTAAACAAACACACACACACTCTGCATTCATTATATACACACACTACACAAACACATACACTTTTAATTTAGTATATACAGCATTCACTTTACGCTCACTACCCACCCACTACACAAACACTCACCTCAACCCTCCTATTTTAGTTATTTTAGTGAAAAAAAACCCATCGCTTTCATTTAAAATACAAGATGCGAGTATATAAACATGTGAAAATAATAATAGATAACTCTTTAAAGAAACTTCTGCAGAAATTTGTGTGGAGGGCATAAATTATTAGAGATAAGATATCACTTAACTCAATACCAAACAGACCACAAGAGAGACAAGAAAAATAAAGTGTAATGGCAAATATAAATTTATATTCAGTATATTTAGAAGTTTGATGGAAATAAAATTGGCCTAATACTCCACTCAGTGGCATTTGTAAGTAGTTAGCTGATGTTTTTGGGGAATGGAAATTGAAAATGGAATAGAAAAGCAGCAAAATATTGATATTAAAGAATCAGACTAAGCATCACAACCATTATATGTCAATGTTGTGTTTATTGGTATAGAAGAAATAGTGGAAGTGAACTCAACCCTTTATCCAGAAATCCAGGGTGCTCCAATGGATAAGTCCCAGTACCAAGAAAGGACCAAGTATAAAATTTGGAATTCATTGTAGAAAGTAATCCAGGCACTCCAATGAATTCCAAAGTTATAGGCAATTTATTAGAACCAGGAACTACATAGCAACGTTTCAACCCCTCAGGGTCTTTATCAGCTTGATAAAGACCCTGAGGGGTTGAAACGTTGCTGTGTAGTTCCTGGTTCTAATAAATTGCCTATAACTTTGGAATTCATTGGAGTGCCTGGATTACTTTCTACAATTAATAATGTTGTGTTTATTGTGATTTTGTTGATGACTATGATATTGAGATTCTCAAAAAAAATGGGGGTTTGATGCAATTGATTTAATTTCATAGAAATTCATGTGAAACATAGGTTAAAATATAGAGAAAATTAAGCTTGACATTATAAACATCTAATTGCAGAATGTAAGAGGAATAAAAAAAACCCCACAGTTTTGAATATTTCTTGAGTAGAAATAAGCACAGGACCAAGCACTGAAAGACTCTATGACCTCAATAAGAGTATTTTAGATAAGAATTTTTTTTTATCCATTCATTTTATTTGGACTATTTGTTATTTTTATCTTATATCTAGTTGTCCTTGGCGCAGCCCTTACCTTTTATTTTTTCTCTCCTCTAGTGTTATTTTTAAGGGTTTTTGAGGGATCCCCTTATAGGGTTGCTGCCCACTTGTTAGTTAGCGCTTACTCTCCGTCTTGTTTATATAATGCAGTGTGTTTGTGTAGTGTGTTTATATAATGCACACTACACAAACACACTGCATTATATAAACAAACTACATTCACTATACACACACTAAACAAATACACACACACTCTGCATTCATTATATACACACACTACACAAACACATACACTTTTAATTTAGTATATACAGCATTCACTTTACGCTCACTACCCACCCACTACACAAACACTCACCTCAACCCTCCTACCCGGAGGTGGGCTACAGGAAGCCATTCTCCTACTTCAGAGGAGCTGACAGAGGTGGAGGACCACATTGTCATGGCAGAGCACACTTCCCTACAGGTAAGCAAACACTTAACTCAAACTTTCCTTCCCCATCAAACTGCTGGCCACATTACTCTGTTCTTTCAGAACCGGACGACCATCTCCACAGACGCGTGGATTCTTCAGACGGTGCGCGGTTACGTCATTGACTTCGTGGGCCTTCCGCTTCAGATGGACCCACCGCGACCTATCAACTGCTCTGCAGAGGACTCCAGGTTCATCAAAATCGAATTACGGGAACTGCACTCGAAAGGTGCGATCGAACCCGCCATCGACCCCGGGGGTTTCTTCAGCAATATATTCCTGGTAAAAAAAGAAAACCAGAGACTTCTGTCCCATCATAAATTTAAGAAGACTCAACGCGTGCGTAATGTACCAACACTTCAAGATGGAGGGCATCCACCTCTTAAGAGACCTCCTTCAAGATGGAGACTGGTTCACAAGATTGGATCTAAAGGACGCATACCTGTCAGTACCCGTCCACCTCTCCTGCCACCAGTTCCTCAGATTTCGGTGGCAAGGCCTCCCTTGGCAGTTCACTTGCCTCCCTTTCGGCCTCAGCTCGGCCCCATGGTGCTTCACCAAATTACTGAAGCCAGTGGTTACACATCTTCAAGCTAAAGGAATTTGATGCATTATCTACCTGGACGACACAAGAGAGACATGAACGCAATGGCACAATATCAACCTTTATTTTAAAAATACAATTTAGTTAAGTTAAATTTAAAAGTTAAGAGAATCACATAAATAAAACAGTAAATAATTGAACAAATGCTCTAATGCACTTTTCTACAATGAAAGTTAAAAGCTGCCAGATACAATAAAAACCTTCCCAAGTTTAAAAAATGTCAATCAAAAATAGAATAAAATCTGTATCAGCACTTAGTTAATATTCCCTTATTATTTAAATATAGAAACAACACAACATGTAATAATATTATAATAGAGGAGTTCCAATGTCAGTCTTTGTGAGGGTATATCCAAATAGTATCAGGAGTGTATTCTGTAATCAAAATCTGTGTCTTTCAATGCAATTTAGTATCCAACCTTAACCCCTTAAGGACACATGACATGTGTGACACGTCATGATTCCCTTTTATTCCAGAAGTTTGGTTCCGTTACAGTTTTATTCCCTATACATAAAAAATCCCCCCATAAGAAGAACTCTTACAGAATAATGTGGTAAAACATATTTCTAAGTATCACTATAAAAGCATATATGGTACAGTGTATAAGCCGAGATGGTTATGGTTACCGCTCCATTGGTGTAGATTAGTAGACCAATCTCATGCACTCAGACCTATCCTCTCGCTGGAACGCCAGCTGTCCGGAGGATGCCAGGGCGGTCCTCACCAAAACCAGGATACACTCTGATGCCCTGGACTTAAAATGGCCGCCGCACTGCCTCTCCGCCATGCGGCAAGCTGAGCAACGCAGGCAACCAGCTAAGGGTCTTGCCTGCCCAAACCATGCGACTTGACACCCCACACTTCCAGCTCTCGATCTCCAGCAGACCACCCACAACCCTCATCAAGGCTGGGAAAGGCAAAGGTAGCCGCCGGGCAGGAAATGAGACAGGGGGACATTACACTACCAGCAATTACTCAGCCTCATAGAGACAATCAACCACTTACCTCCCAAGGAATCTTGAGCCCAGCGGACACTCTCTCCACTTACAGCAGCCCGACGAAGCAAGACCTGTGCAATGGGGGGACTCATCTGCGTGGACCCGGTGGAAGTTAAAAACTTGCATATTTCACTCACATGCTTATAACACGTTATAAATGTTATAGTTGCTTTATGATTCTGTCAAGCACGACATATTAAGTCACCAACATAGTGTATTGCACCTCCA